TTTCCCTGTACGCCACACGGGAGCATCTGAGCATTCATTCCTTTCTCTGTCCCATTCGTTCACCTGTTTTAATGTCGGAAAGTAAGAAATCTCACAGCATTACATTTAGATTTGCATTCAAACCAACAAACATCTTAGGGGATAAGAGAAACTTTAAAATTCGTAAGCATGAAAGTAACCTGTAGATCAGTTATAAGGAGTGAAATTATGACCCTCATTGGTCAAAATGTATCCCTCCCAAGTAGGAGTAACAGCTTTAGATGACTTGTTCATGTTTTCCCCCAATCAACATGAACTGGCACCTTTAAGGTCACGTAGGAGACACAAAGATAAATAGGATAGGATCCTGCTTTTAACAGCTTACAACTTAACAGGGGGGAAACACACACACACACACACACGCACACGCACACACACGTAGATTTAAAAAAAAAAGAAACCTTTCAGATAAGATATATTAAATGGCATATGACTGCTAGGGTATTCTGAGAATTCAGGCACAAGCTCTTCCTAATTGAGAGGATTAGCCATTTGACCTGGACCCTGGAGTTTGGATAAGAGCTACATGTGAAGTATGTGTGCATGTGGGTGTGAGTGCCACCCATGGGTGTGCAGCAAGGATTAGAAGAATTGGAAACAGAAAGAAAAGACTGACCATAGACATGGATGTGCTAGAGACTAAAGTGTTTGGGGAAGAGAGATGAGCCAACGTTGGCTGAAGCAAAGAGAATAACAAAAGAGAAAACTGGAAAGGAAGAGTGTGGGCCCATGGTTGAGAGCACAGAACATGAGAGTAGAGTTTGGACTTTATTCAGTCTACAATGGGTCCTAAATTAGGAACCATTCAGGCATTCAGCAATTGTTTCTTGTTCATCTGCTATGTGCTGGGCCTTGGGATAGACATAGTGAGATAAGAAAAGAAAAACAAGGCATGATCCCTTGCTCTCATGACTGAATTCCACAAAAACATAACTTTCTAGAAGTATAGTTAAAACTCAAAGAGAAATTATGAAGCACAAAACAAAACTGGTCAAAATGCAAAATTATGGATAAGCAATCCATTTTGGCTACTAATTGCTTTGTGACATGAAACAATCATTTGATAACCTTCTCACAATTCTGCAATTTGGCAAGGGCTTGGTGGAAACAACTGGTCTCTTTTAATGTGGTGTCAGCTGGGGTAGCCTGAATAACAGAGGTCTGGCAGGAATGGCCAACTTGTGTCACATGTCTAGGGTTTGGTCTTCACTGTGCATTAGGTTGCTCAGTTCTCCTCCACCTGGCTTCTCCAATACCTGGGAGGGAAGAGCTCATAGCACAGAAGCATCCTACCTACTCCTGAGTCTGTCACTCCTGAGAGCCCCTGCTGTCATGCACTCCAGCTTCAAAACTAGAAGAAAACAGACTCATCCCCGGCTCTTGCCACCCCTTCTGCCATCTTCTACATCCTTGGGCTCTCCTGGGACACACTTCACTCCCTCATGTGTATTACACATTTTGAACCTGTCTCTGGATAGCTACAGCAGAAAACTGAGTTTCCATGATCCCTGGTTCTCAGAATGACATTTAAGGTCTTCCTGTAGCTTTTATGTCCATCTTGTGTTTTCCATCCTCAGTGACCCTTCCACTTCCCAAACTGGACACAATAGTCTAGTGTGACCTGGCCTATCCCAGGTTCAGCGGTGATGTCAGAATTTCTATAACAGAAGCAACAGGATTGGAAGGAGGTTGGGAGAGACTAAGAGACTTTCCTTGAAACTTTTTAAAGAGTTGCATGATCCTTCATAGAACTAGAACTGATCATAAAAAACTGACATAGTGACCACTATGTGATTAATAAAAATACACACTTAGCTCACATAAATGGCATTAATAAAAATGTACCCTTTGTCCACATGAATGCAAAAGTTAACTAGGCATTACCCAAGAGAGAAGCTGGGATTTTTTTTTTAGCCTTTCTAACCATCCATCAGTTATTCCATGAAGAGGAAGTATAGCCTGGGTTGAGTGTGCATTACAGAAATCAGACCATAAAAATTTGCATTCTGGCTCCACCATTTACAGTGTCATCTTGGGCAAGTCACTTTACCTCCCTGTGCTTTTGTTTCCTCATCTATAAGACAAGGGTAACAACAGTACTCATGCCATTGGCTCACTCTGAATACTAAATAATACCTGCAAAGCACTTAGATAGTTCCCAGTACACTGTGAATGTACTCAATGAATGCCACTTATTACATTATTCTATAAATTATCACCTTCCTGAAGACTTCAGCACATGCTTTATAGATTTTTTTCCCCTTTATTAATGCTTGTTTGGGTTGACCTTGGAGGAGGTGACTACTGAACATTACAAGGAGCTAAAGATGCCCCTCCAAACCACTCTCTTAGTAACTTGGCTAATAGCCTTTTGTAAAAAATTAATTTTCACCTTGGCTATCTTAAATCATGAAAATGGGTCTTGGCAAGAAAAGCAAGTAACTTGCAGTCAATAATACATGTCGAAAACAGACAAAAAAATTAAGGTAACAATTATTCTCTTAATCCTCAGAAATTAGATACAGTGACAGATTAGTAACAGAGTGAGAGTTAATAAGGAAAGAGTTGATAAGTAAGGACCAAATCGACAAATATTTTAAATGGATTAAAGAAAGTATGTACCTTCTCATCAAAATTGCATGACGAGAAAGTGAGATCTGTGAAAGCCATTCAGAATTCTACCTTGGATCTAATTACTGCAATCCCACGGTATATTTGTGCCACCTATTGTTCTCCTAACATTCACTTTTCTATCATAACTACAGGATGCAAGCAGAAGATGCCTCCAGTGAATTAAGGAGGGGGAACATGAGACCCTAAGCAATGAGCTCATGTGGAACAATTTCCCTGATGCTCTGGGTTCACAGAATTTTATTTGCATAGAAGAACTGCAGGAGCTCTGGATGGTAGTGGCTCTGAAAGAAATTAGCAAAGGTACATGTGAGGGAAGGATTCAGTAAAACCCCTTGACTATATAACTAGTAGAGCATTACCAGATGTAATCAGCCTAGCCTTCAGATACAGACACAGGGTGGCCTCACGACCCACTTCCATCTCATAATCTGCACTGGAACTGCCAGTATAATTTATGCATAACCCTCCATTTACATTGCATTATGGGTCAATGAAAATTGGAATATAATTGGCCTGAGTCATCTTATGGAGGTAACTTCCTGGTGTTACCTTGGCCACATTCTTCGTAAGTAAGTCACGGGGGGAGGACAGGGGCTCTAAGAGAATTCTCTCCTTCTGTTGCTCACTCACCAGCTGCCGGCAGAGTTTAGGATTCCTTTGATCCTCTTCACTCTGGAAGCTGTACTCCTTCCTTAGTTTCAGATATGGGGAACAGGCTTGAAAAGTTGTTTTGCAAGCCTAGCAAAAATAATGTTACTGTCTTATTGTGAAAAATATGAGAGAATTCTATAATCCCAAGCAAGGAGCCCTGGTGGTGGAATGGTTAAGAACTTGGCTGCTAACCAAAAGGTTCAAACCCACCAGTGACTCCACAGGAAAGAATGACCTGGTGATCAACTCCAGTAATGATGGTGGTTGTTGCTAGGTGCTTTGGAGTTGGTTCTAACTCCTAGCGATCTCATGTACCATGTACAACAAAACAAAACACTGACCGATCTGCACCATGCTCACAATTGTTGCTATACTGGAGCCCACTGTGGCAGCCACTATGTCAATCCATCTCATTGAGTGTCTTCCCATTAAGATCATAGCCTAGGAAACCCTATGGGGCAGTTCTACTCTGTGGAGTTGGAATCACCTTGATAGCACATCACCACAACAATTTAACCCTGAGCAAGGAAGGCTACCCAGAGGATTGCACCTAACCTGTTACCTGGGGGTAGGTACCACTGAGGGTGTAAAAGTAACTTTCAGGTACTTTCCAAGATATATGCTTATGAAATGACCGTGCTGTAATTTGGAGGCCAGTAGCAAAGGAGTAACTTTATAGTTTACCACAGCCCTTGTTATTGACTATTATTGGTATAAATCTAATACATGGGTGGCGCAATACAGTTAACATGCTCAGGTGCTAACCATAAAGGTTGGCGGTGCCACTCAGAGGTGCCTTAGAAGAAAGCCCTGGTGATCCACTTCCTAACAAAATCAGCTTTTGAAAACTCTATGAAGCACAGTTCTATTCTGACACATACTGGGGCACCACGTGTCAGGATCAATTGGTGGCAACTAGTTGGTTCTTGTTATTACCTCATGAAAATTAGCACTGGGTTCCTATAATTCAATCTCTCTCTTCCCCTTTCTCCTTCTCTTAACTCCTTCATGTTAACTTAAAAAAAAAAAAAAGAGGTTTGGTGAAATCATTTGTACCCAATGAAACAAATACAGGTATGTGTTGCTTAACATCCATGATACATTTCATGTAATAGGATGTTATGTGATATGGATGTTGTGCAAACACCATATTAGGACCTTGTGGATGCCCACTTCTCATCCTCATTGCTGCTGCTGCCACCACCGCTGCTGCTGCCGGAGGAACAGGCTGCAGCAGAAGCAGTGGCTGAGAAGACAATGATGGGAGTGGAGTGAAAGGAAGTGAGGAAGGAGGCAGCGGAGTATTCCAGCCCCACCTGCTGCTGCAATCACCTGAGCAGCAGGAGCAGCCTGGGCCCTGCAGCTACATCGCCCATCTGCTCACCAGACAAAACCTGGAGAGCCCACGCCCAGGGCCATGTCCTCTGCTTTACCTCCCTGTATCCCACCTGTGATCCAGTGCTGTTAAAGTCTGGGTTTAAAATCATTACAGGAGAATAATAGACAAAGGGAGAGATGTTTTCCCTTTTAAAAAAAAAAAAAAAAACCTTATGGGACCATGGATGTGTATGTGGTTGGACATTTGCCCAAAGAGATGTTAAGCAAAGTATACCTGTAAGGTCTTTAAAGAGTTTAAGCCCTGGTTTTGAAGCACCCACCCCATCCTACTCCAGAGCAGGCCTGAGTCTGACCCAGCCTTGGTAGGACACATTTTCTTCAAAAAGAAAGCAAATGCTCATAGGGAATCAAGAAGCCAGGGGCAAGAAATCTATACTAGGCACAGTGACAAAAACTGAGTGTGAATAAATATCATCATTACATGGGCTGCTGCCTACTGGTTAAACCAGTGCTTCTCTGCTCCCAAGGAGCCCTCGTAGTGCAGTGGTTAAAACACTTGGCTGTAACCAAAAGTTCAGTGGTTCAAACCTACCACCTGCTCCACAGGAGAAAGATATAGCAGTCTGCTTCCATAAAGATAACAGTCTTGGAACCATATGGTGCAGTTCTACTCTGTCCTATAGAGTAGCTATGGGTCACTAGGAGTTGAAATTGTCTCAACAATGGGTTTGTTTTTTAGCTTCTCTTTGCCCCTCCATTAACCTCCATTAACCTGAGCTTTTCCAGCCCTGACTGGGGCTCGGATTGGGTAAGTGGGGCAGGAACAAACATTCTTTGTCGGAGAGAGGTTACACATTGAGGAGGTGCTTTTTGCAGGATTTACATGAATATGCCATGACCAGAACTAGCCTGACAGGAACCTGAAGGATTTGGCATCCACACTCAACATGGCTGCACCACAGACCCCATTATGGATAGCATAGACACTCCATGTAGCTGGTTGGTGAGTCACTGTCAAGGAGTCTTACCTTGGCAACCTGAGGATTTTTATCCCATAAATGGATCAGGAGGGAATCTCGTGTGTGCTTAACCTGAGTGGTGAAAAATTTCTTCCATTTCCGCCCAGCAAAGGCAGCCAATTGCCCAAACAAGACAAAGGCCGAGTATCTCAGGCTGTCGTTCTCCTGCGGGTCCCACGTCAACAAAAAAACAACAAAAGCCAGGTCGTTACCAACAGCAATTGCATCAGAGAACATCATACTCATCCATTCTCTGCAGTAGATTACAAGGCGAGCCATCAGACTCTCCAGAGCGCTGAGCTATGGGAGGGGCCTGGGCAGAGCAGAGGGGTGCTGACGTCTTCACTGAACCTCTGCCCCAGCAGATCAAAAGATTGCCTGCTTTTTGTTCTTTATTTAAAGTTAGGCAGACATGACACATTCACACGGTTTGAAATTTAAAATAATCAGAAGGGTTTAAAGACAAAGAAACTCTCCTTTCTATTACTCCCCTCCTGCTACCAAATTCTTCCCCACAGGCAAGCAGAGTAATAAATTTTGTGTGTATTCCTCTAGAAAATTAAAAAGAAAAAACACATTACATAGTCCTTTCCTGCTTTTTCACATATATGGTAGCATACCACACCTCTGTTATGCACCATGATTTTTCCATCACACTATCTTGGAGCCCTTGCCATGTCAATACAGAACAAGAGTTTTCTTTCTCCCCCTGCATCATAACTCGTTTGACCAGCCCCCTGGTTATTCTCCCAGGATTTTCATCAGGCCATTTCTACTTTTGGCCTCAGTGTCTCCTGTCTATGAAAAAACAAAAAACCTATCACTGCCATTGAGTCAATTCCAACTCACAGCGACCCCTCCTTAGGTTTCCGAGATGGTATCACTATGGAAGTAGATTGCCCAATCTTCCTTCCAAGGAGTGGCTGGTGAGTTTGAACCACCATCCTTCTGGTTAGCAGTCAAATGCCTTAGGCAGTGGAAATAATAATTACATTTCTTTCTTCAATACCCTCCCAGCTCCTCCATTTTCATCTTCTTGGCTAGTTCATCCCTGAGCACCTATGAATAGGCTCAGCCCTTGCTCCCTCCTCCAGGTGAGCTGTCTGGTCCAAATATCTCCCTTTCCAGGTGAGGAGACTGGGGCCCCACGGCATTTAAGTGATGTGCCCAGAGTCACACCACCAGGTAACAGAATCAAGGGAGTAACCAGTTTCCTGTCTCTTGGTCTGGAGATTTTATATCAATGTTTCCTGGTCCTATCCAGCACCAAGAAAACCTGAGGGAAGGTGAGAATTCTACCACAAAACTTCCACTGCCTCCTTTTGTTATCATGGTGGTGTTGTTGTTAGGTGCCACTGAGTTGGCTCCAACTCATACCAACCCTGTGTACAACAGAACGAAACACCACCTGATCCTGTGTCAGCCTCACAATCCTTGCTCTACTTGAGCCTGTAGTTCCACCCACTGTGTCAATCCATCTCAATGAGGGTCTTCTCCTTTTTCACTGACCCTCCACTTTACCAAGCATGACATCCTTCTCTAGGGAATGGTCCTTTCTGACAACATGACCAAAGTAGGTGAGATGAAGTCTGGCCATTCTTGCTTCCAAGAAGCATCCGGCTGCACTTCTTCCAGGACAGATTTGTTTGTTCTTCTGGCAGTCCACGGTACTTTCAGTACTTTTCGCCAAACCACAGCTCAAAAGCATCAACTCTTCTTCAGTCTTATTTATTCTCTGTTATCATAGTACATCTAATTCCCACATTCATATAGGAGAATGTTTAGTTCTTCGTTTTGGGTGCTAATTGTACATTAAGTGAAATGTAAAATTATTATGATCATTTCAAATACTTTAAACAATGCTTTTAAAAGATCACAGCATGCATTTAAACATAGCAAAGGGCTGTGCTTAATTTTATATCTACAAAATTTGCTAATTTTAAATTTTATTTCCTAATTTGATTGTGTGTGACATAGTGCCTAGGGCATTTGACTGCTTAACCAGAAGGCTGGCGGTTCAAACCCACCAGCCACTCCTCGGAAGGAAGACTGGGCAATCTACTTCCGTAGAGATACCGCCTTGGAAACCCAAGGAGGGGTTGCTATGAGTCAGGATTGATTTGATGGCAGCAAGTTTGGTTTTTTTGGTTTTTAATTTGATTGTGTGTCTGTGTGTGTGTGTATAGATACATACAGGCAGACCTCTGAGATGTCATGAGTTCAGTTCTAGACCACCATAATAAAGCAAATATTGCAATAAAGTGAGTTACATGAATTTTTTTTGGTTTCCCAGTGCATATAAAAATTATGCTTATACTATACTGTAGTCGATTAAGTACACAATAGCATTATAAAAAAGTTTGAAATATTGTGAAGATTACCAAAATGTGACACAGAGACACAAAGTGAGCACTTGCTGTTGGAAAAATGGTGCTGACAGACATGTTTGATGCAGGGTTGCCACAAACCTTTAATTTGAAAAAAAAAAAGGCATTATCTGTCAAACACAATAAAATGAAGTACAATAAAATGAGGTATGCCTGTGTATATACATACATAAGGAGCACTGGTGGCAGAGGGCTAAGGCATTTGACTGCTAATCAGAAGGTTGGCAGTTCAAATCCGCCAGCCAGTCCATGGAAGGAAGACAGGGCAATCCACGTCTGTAAAGATTTACTGCCTCAGAAACCCAATGGGGGTCACTATGACTCAGGATTGACTCGATGACAGTGGGTTTCAGTGGGTTTGGTGATGCAGTGGTTAAAGCAATCAGCTGCTAACCAAAAGCCTGGCATTTCAAACCCCCTGGCTGCTTCATGGGAGAAGAATTAGGCAGTCTGCTTCTATAAAGATTTACAGCCTGGGGTCACTATGAGTCAGATGGACTTTATGGCAATAGGTTTGGATTTTGGTTTGACACACACACAGTTATTTATAGCTGTGACAGACTAACTTCTTAGCTTCCAAGTAGGGGCTCTCAGACTCTTCAGTTTCAGACTGAACAACATATCAATGTACTTTTTGCCCAGCTCTCTCCTCTAATGTGAATGCTCTCTCCATGCTATTTACTGAACTCCTACCTATCTTTCAGAACTCCATACTCTCTGTGAACTCTTTCCTTTGCTCCATCTAGAAATAATTCTTTCTTCACATGAGCCCCTTTTTGCACTTTATCTGTGACCTACATAGCCTCAGGAGCCCTGGTGGCTTAGTAGTTGAGTGCTTGCTGCTAACAGAAAGGTTGGCAGTTCAAACCCACCAGTCGCTCTGCAGGTAAAAGATGTGGTAGTCTGTTTCCATAAAGATTACAACTGTGAAAATTCTATGGGGCAATTCTACTCTATCCTACAGGATTGCTGTTAAGTTGGGACTGGATACCCAGCAGTGGGTACTCTGTCTTGTCCCTTGGTAGGTGCGTTGTAGTAAATTATGTAGTGTGGCTTTTCTAGCCATGAGTCTTTGTAAACTCTGTGGTGGAATTTGCTGTGAGCAACTGAGAAGCTCCTGATTGTAAAAATTATCTTCCTGGGGTATTTCTGTTGGGCATGGCACAAAGCAATGTTCTGGGAGGTTCCTGCTCTCTCTCAGGTGCTTAGAATTCTGATGTTATGATTGGTTAGTTTGGCCACTCTGCCAGGCGCAAAAGGAGGCTTCCTAGAGGCAGAAGTCTCCCTCTGACTGCCGGTTGAGGAAGATGTGCTGCTGAAAGAGACACTTGCTCCTGAGAAACGTGCTGCTGGGAAAGAGATGCCAGAGACACGCATCGCTGAGTGAGACACCGAGGGACATGCTGGGAGAGAGACTGTGAGAGACTCTTGGCTGAGGGACGGTGGGCTGGGAAAGAGACTGAGTGTTTTTCCTGAACTTGAATTGTAGCCTGGTGCTTCCCTAATAAATCCTGTAATCTGTAAGTTCTGTGTGGCCACTACGGTGAATTATCAAGCCCAGGAGAGAGGTGGTGGGTGCTTTGGGAGGAACGGTTGGTGAAAGGGCTGGAGGGAGGCAGCATGTCTGGCCTTGCAGGAATAGGCCTTGGGTTACTGATGGGGATCCTGTCTTCCTCTTGTGGGGTTAGAGGAGGTCAGGAGATGTGGCCTCCTTGCCCTTTTAGCAGTAGGTAAGACTGCAGGCCCTATAGTGAGCCTGGTTTCATATCCACTTACTGGCCCTGTGAACCTGGAGCAAGTTACCTAACCCTTCAGTGCCTTGGTTTCCTCATCTATAAATGGAGGGTAGTAATAGTGCCTAGCTCACAGGGTTGGTGTGAGGATTATATGAGATAATCCATGTAAATTATCAAGCACCATTCCTGGTATACAGTAAGTACTCACTGAATGCTAGCTATTGTTATTGTTACATTTGTAAGAAGGCACTGAGTACACATTGGCATCATCATCATCATAAGTGTACATGTATTCACTTCTCTACTAAAATGAAAACTCCTTGAGGGGTAGCGATAAAATCCTATATGTCTTTATATATCCTCCATGACCCAGGGCACAGTAGTGGACTCTCAGTAAGATTCTTTAATAAACACATGAGTAAGAGAGACCTTGTTCCCTGAGTGATATACCACCCAGGGCTCACATTCCTAATCCCACTTTGATATAAAAAATTCTGGGTTGTTCTCACTTACATCATCTAATAAAGTCCTGGTCTGAAGGGTGATGTCGATAAAGAAGGAGCCCAAACCTTTCCCCTGGATCTTTCCGAGGATGATGCTCAGCGTCTTCATACTCTCATGGATGACTTCAGAACTCACCGGGTCATACAATCCATGCACCAGCAGGTCTAGGACAATTTTGTTATACTTTCTCACCTGGTAACAAGGTTTGAAAATCATTAGTAGCACAGTGATTGCTACACAGTTCCACTTCTAATTTCCCAATAACCTAGGCTATGGATTGACAGACCAAAACTTTCTTCAGGATCTGCCATGACAATTCTCATTAAAATACAAATGTTTCCATTCCTCTACAAGGTCGTGTTTTGCAAGAGTCCAATTTGGTGTTATGGAGAAGAAGAGAATGAACAAGTCTGGAGTGTGTCCTGTTGGTGGGGAGCCTGGGCAGGGGCACTTCCAGCCTGAATGACCAGGGCGCGCAGTACTAGATGCCTTCACAGTGAGGTGGAGATGGAATAGTCACTGAAGTTGACAGACGCTTAATGGGGAAGCGGGATAACCATCTTTTACTAAATAAGTGTAAACCAGTAGAAAATCACCTAAATTCACCAAGAAGGCAATGGCCAGCTGTGTGTTAATCCTCCCTACAGCTCTAATTCCCATGGTGGATGGGTGCTACAGGGGTGTCATGACCCTAAGATGACCTCCAATGAGTCATGCTTTTGTATAATTTCTTCTTCATGAGTGTAGATGAGATCTATGACTTGCTTCTAATCTATAGAATATGACAAAGGTGATGGGATGTCACTTCTATGATTAGTCTCTGTCTTTGCAGACAGGCATAGGAGACATGCTCCTCCTGGATGTGATGAAGTACCTGCCTTAACCCACATATCTATGGTCAACTGATTTTCGACAAGGGTACTAAGTCCATTCAATGGGGAAAGAAGAGTCTCTTCAATACATGGCACTGGATAATTGGATTTGCACATAAAGGAAAATGAAACAGGATCCATGTCTCATACCACACATGCACAGAAAAAAAAAATCAAAATGGATTAAGGACTTAAATGTGCAAACTAAAATCATAAACGTCTTAGAAGAATAACCATGGGAAATGCTGTTAGGCTTAGCTTTCAACAATGGATGATCTAATATAACAACAAAAGCACAAAGAGCAAAACCCAAAACAAAATGGGACCTCCTAAAAATGAAAAACTTTCGCTCATAGAAACAATTTACCAAAAAAGTAAAAAGGCAAGCTACTGACTGGGAGACTATCTTTAAAAACCATATGTTGTTGTTGTTATGTGCCAACGAGGCGGACCTGACTCATAGAGATCTCTCCTTGGGTTTCCAAGGCAGTATCACCATGGAAGTAGATTGCCCCATCTTCCTTCCGAGGAGTGGCTGGTGGATTTGAACCGCCAGCCTTCTGGTTAGCAGTCAAGTGCCTTAGGCACTACGCTACCAGAGCTCATATATACATATATACAACAACAATCTAATAACCAGAAAATATATATGAAACTTTGACAATGTAACAACAGAAAGACAAATAACCCAATCATAAAATGGACAGAGGATCTGAATTGACATTTCACAGAAGAGAACATTCAAATGGCCACCAAACACATGAAAAGATACTCAGCATCATTAGCCATTAGAGAGATGCAAATCTAAACCACAATGAGATCTCATTTTACTCCCACGAAGATGGCTAAGATTTAAAAAAAAAAAAAAAAAACAGAAACAGAAAATAACATGTTGGCAAGGATGTGGAGAAACTGGAACCTTTATCCATTACTGGTGGGAATGCAACATGGTACAGCCATTGTGGAAAACAGTGTGACAGTTCCTCAAAAAAAGCAAAAGTAGAACTACCATGGAACACAGCAATTCCACTCCTAGGTATATACCCAAAAGTCTTGAAAGCAGAGACTCGAAAAGAGATTTGTGTACCAATGTTCACTGCAGCACTATTCACAATAGCCAACAGGTCATAACAACCTCAATGCCCATCAATAGATGAACGGAGAAATAAAATGTAGTACATACATACAATGGAATACTACTCAGCCAGTAGGAGAAATGAAGGCTCCATATATGCTACGGAACAGATGGAGTTTGAAGACATTATGCTGAGTGAAATAAGCCAATCACAAAAGGACAAATATTACATGACTGCACTTATATAAAAAGACAAGAAAAGGAAATGGAGAGAGACCAAAGTTTATTAGCAGTTTCCAGGGGTAGGAGGGAGAAGGAAAAGGAGGATTATTGCTTATGGAATACTGAGTTTCAGTTTACAGTGATGGAAAAATCCCATTAAGGGTTTTTTAAGACCCTTAAGAGTTGCACACTCGAAAGTTGTGTGACAGATATATTTACAACAAGGACAAGAGAAAAGAGTAGCTCCTAAGGCTGCTTATGTACAAACATTTCATGGGATTTAGTTTCTTGGTTTGGAGGCTTGAGGCCATGGTTTCATGGGACATCGAGTTAACTGGCCTAATAACACATTTGTGCTTCTGTTCTACCTCTTAGTTCATTGCTTAGTGCCTGGGGTCTTAAAAGCTTACAAGGAGCTATGCAAGACATAAAATTGGTCTCCATTCCCCTGGAGCAACAGAGGCAGAAAGAGAGTCAGAAATAGGAGGAGGATGTGGAATGTGTGGCTGATTGCCTCCATGAACAACTGCCCCCTTTGCCATGAGACTAGAAGAACTGGATGGTGCCCAGCTACCATTACTGAGCATTTTGATGAAAGATTCCATAGAAAAATCCTCATCAAAATGGGAAAATGCAGAACCAAATTTCAAGTTCTCATTGACTCTAGACTTTCTGGAGTGTGGAGGCTGGATGAACCCTTGAAATATTGCCCTGAGGTAATCTTGAAACCTTAAACCAAAAATATCCCCTGAAGTCTTCTTAAAACCAAACAACAGTTTAACTTAACTAGTAAAAAATGTCTGCCTTGAGAATTATGCTCTTTTAAGAAATATCTATATGGGATCAAATTGACAATGTTGTTGTTGTTGTGTGCTGTCGAGTCACACCCGACTCATAGCGACCCCTCCTTGGGTTTCTGAGGCGGTATCACTACGGAAGTAGATTGCTCAAGCTTCCTTCCAAGCAAATTGACAATAGCAACTCGAAAGACTAGATAGGGTACAGTGAGTTTATGTTGTGAGGGAGGAACACTCAGAAAAGGAGGGTGAGGATAGTTGCAGGATTCAAAGTATGTAACCAATGTTATTGAACAGTGTACATAGAAACTGTTGAATTGGTGTATGTTTTGTGGTGTACGTTCTCCATAACAACAACAAAACTAAATTAAAAGAAGAAGAAGTACCTGTCTTCTGAGAAGGGCCTGTGAGGGGCCATGTAGAGCCATGTAGCAGGGAGCTGTGGGTCATCCAGGATCAAATCAGCTCCTGCCTGACAGCCAGCAAGGAACTGGGACCTCAGTGCTACTACTGGAGGGAACTAAGTTGTGCCAACAAACATGGAAGAGCACCTCCAGCTTCAGAAAGAAATGCAGCTCAGTCAACACCTCATGGCAACCTTGTGAGACCCTAAACAGAGGACCCAGCTAAGCTGGGCCTGAACTCTTGATCCATGGAAACTGGGAGAGAATACATGCATACTGCTTTAAGCTGTTAATTTTGTAGTGATTTTTTATGCAGTGATACTTTTTTATGGAGTGAAACTCCTTCGTGCAGTTTCTGATCCCAGCTCTGGAGATGACAGGCACACCTCAAGGATTGGAGATAGTTTCAAAGGCACTGCCTTTCCTACCTTGTCTGGGGCTTCACAGGCCAGGGTGCCCAGCCCTTTCATTGCCATGTGACGCTTTTTAGCACTGCAGTCCCGGGCTCCTTCTGTCAAGATGAAAAACATGTTCTTCAGGGTCTCCTGCTTCTGGAACCTCAGTTTCCCAGAGACCTGTGTGGTGAGTCAACAATGTATTAATTCGGGAGCATTCACAGTCATACTCAACCCAAAGCCCAATCCCTCCCTCTAAAGAAACTCCTGTCCAATTTTACTCCTTCTTCCTCCACCTAAAGATGCTTGATTTTGTTAGAAAGTTATTAGCTTGATCTCCATCATGAAGGAATTGATGGTTTGGGGGAATTATGAAGAGAGACGCTCTGAAGCAGCTATGGGTATGAGAGGTGTTGAAAGGAAGGGGTGTTGCTATGAACTGAAGTGTGTCAACCAACAGAAAGATGTTGACGTCCTAAACCCTGGTGCCTGTGAATGTGACCTGGTTTGGAAACGGTCTTTGAAGCTATTTTAGTTAAGTTAACATGAGATCACACTGGACCAGGGTGGGCCCTAATTCAATATGATTTGTGTCCTTATAAAAGAGAAGAGACATACAGAAAAAGGCCATGTGACAAAGGAGGCAGAGACTGAAGCGATGCATCTACAAGCCCAATAATGTCAATGACCAGGAACCACCAAGAGCCAGGAAACAGAATCTTGTCCTGGAGTCTCAGAGAGAGTGTGGCCCTGCCAACACCTTGATTTCAGACTTCTAGCTTCCAAAGCTGCGAGACAGTCCATTACTCGGGGTGTTCTGTTTGTATGCTTGTTTGTTTTTAAGTCTGTGGGACCTGGTGATGGCTGTCTATGGAAGTAGATTGCCCAATCTTCCTTCCGAGGAGTGGCTGGTGGGTTTGAACTGCCAGCTTTTTGGTTAGCAGTCACATGCCTTAGGCACTAAGCCACCTGAGCTCCTTTGTTATGGCAGCCCAAGGATATTGAATCCGGATTGTTGTTTCTTTCAGCATTGATGTGGACTGAGAATGTGGATCTCTTCCACAGTAAAAGATATGCTGTTATTTCCCCCAACTTAAAAAGAAAGAAAAACCCTTGCCCCTTCTCCCACCTCCAGTTCCTCCCCGTGTTTCTCCTCTACTTTGTAGCTAAGTACCTTGAAAAAAATGATCTATACTTACTTTCTCTCCTGCATTCTCTCTTGAACTCTCTGTCATCAGATGAACCCCCCACCCCCACTCCCACCCCACCAAGTGGCTAAATCCAAGGGTCAGTTCTCAGGACTCATTTCACCTGACCCCTCAACATCAGCTGCAATGAGTAGAGCACAACCACAAACATCTAGTGCACATGTATGAATATTCCAGGGCATTTGAAAGAAGGCCCAGCTCCATAATGGAGGAATCTGAGCAGTCAGTATTAGAAAAGAAACGCAAAGATAATGGAAATTGAGAAACACTGTGTGTCTAATGCAGAGACCTGTATTTCAAGGAATAAACTTAGTAATCACAGGGCAAGAGACGGATCACTCTCTGTGGTGATGCAAAAACGACAAGGAGGCCACATGTTCTGACCTCCTCTAACCCTACAAGGGGAAGGCAGGATTACCAGCAGTAACCCAAGGCCTATTACTGC